AATTTATTGAACATTACTACCAAATAACTAACTGTTTATTTCAATTATTCATTTTCCTACATGTCATCGACTTGTAATTACAATAATTTGTAATTTATAAATAAACGACGCCATGCGTAAAAAATGGCACAAAAGCGTAATGGGTCATTTATTGGAACAAATAAAAATGAAAATGTATAAAATATATAGCATATATTGTTTAGAACAACATTAATAATTGTGTCATATACGATATTAGAAAATTCTAACTGTAAAATCGACATGAATTGATTTTAACGATAAAACAGTACAATTTTATATCGAGATTAGTATTTGAGGAAAGTTCGACAGTTGAATGTCGTAATTTGGTACACTAAAAAATAAGTTAATTAAATAAAATAATTGTTCATTAATAATAATCAGTTATGTTAGGAATTATATTTTCTTTATATTTAAACAAATAAAAATAAAAGTGCAAGTGTTACTAAATATACAAATCATAATTAATTAAAGTGAAGTGCAAGTAGAAATCGCACACCGAGGTATTTCTGTTAAAACAAACATTAATTTTGATTTTAAGGTTTTTCCAGCCGAAATTAATTTCATAAAATAATCAATTTTAATATTTATCGTTGATAAATGCAAGCTAAAAATAACAAACTCAAAATCTGTAAAAGTATGTCTCTATTTAATTGCAAAGTGCGGGCAAAGTATTTAGAGTAGTTTGTTCAAGAATTTGTTATTATTTCAAAATTTTCTAAGAAATATGATCAATTTTAGTATTTTCCAACACAGTATAGGCATTAGAGAGTGACATACTCAAATTACAGTATTCCAGTGCATATAGTATAATATAAATAATTTGTTAAACTGCAAATTATCACGAGTGCTAATGTTTTTGAGGGTACATTGTTCAAGTATTTCTAAATATTTTAAAATTTTCTGAGAAAACTTATTGATTTCAGTATTTTTTATCATAGTATTTATATTGGAAAGTATCATACTGCAGTTTCAAAATTCTAGTATGATTATTGTATTTTTAAAATTAGTCAAACTACTAGATGTTCTAATAATTGTGGACTATATATTTTGAGTACTTTGTTCGAGTTTATCTTAATATTTTGAAATTTTCCAAGAAAACTCATCCATTTTAAAACTTTTTGTCATAGTATAAGTCTCGAAGAGTAACATACTCAAATTACAGCAATCCAGTTTTAATAGTATTATTTTGAAAAATAGTCAATCTGCAGAATATTTTAAATTAGAATGTCATAAATTGAGTATTTACTCTAGTATTTCTTAATATTTTGAAATTTTCCACTAAAATTTATCATTATTAGTATTTACACAAAATGTATAGTACGACACTAATTAATAACATTTTTATTTCAAATATTTTTTAAAATTACACTATTTATACTAGCATGCTGGAATTTGAGTATGTCACTTCTTAGTGCATCTACTAAAACAACAAATACTAAAATAGATATGTTTTCTTGGAAAATTTCAAAATATCAACAATTACTCACACCAAGTACCCAGAAATACCTATAACTTATTTATAATTTTTTAGGCACGGCAATTAATTTTCCGATGATGAAGTTGATATATTTTTGCATCAATTTACTTCTGCTGATGCAAATAATTAAACCGAATGCCAACATCGAAAAAAACTTTACATATTCGATAAAGTACACCAATGACGAACAAAACAGCAACTCGTCAATAGAAAATCGTGGATTTATTACCGATTATTTAGTTAATCCAGTAACTAACCTTTTTAGTGGGATTTATGCAGGTGGAACAAAAGTAAACAAGGTAATTATGAAAGTGGTATTTGCCTTAAGATAAATTGCACAAACTTGATAAATATTACTAGAATACAGATAATGAATAATATGTCCTAATTATAGCATAGCTGTAAATTTTGCTAGATTGTTTTGTTTATAAGACAATTCCTCAAAATTTTTTATTTTTTATATAAAATATAATTAAAAACGAGCAGGAAAATCGTTTTCCTCTCTTCGAGCTCTTTTCAATGATATGTCACATGAAATGTTGCTCGAGATTTGCCTATCGGCAAGTTGCTATTCTATTCGCTTAATAAATACACAGTGTATGTCTCAAGTGAGCGACCTTTCATTTGTTATTTAAGCAAGTGTAAATAATCGACTTAATCAAATAGAACTGATATTTAGCAAATTTTGGGACAAAATTGTGTCATTGATAACACAAATAACCTAAATTTATGCTTTAAATAAAAACGGGACTCTACTACATGCAAAGTCTTTCCTTTCTTTACAAAAATGAACTACTATCATATATAATAATCATTGTCATATAATATAACTTATATTTTACAACACATATAGAAATCGTTATTTTTAACTCAATTTGTGCGTTAATAACAAAACAACAGCAACTTGCCTCAAGGCAAATCTCTAACAACATTTTGCATGTGACATATCATTGAAAAGGGCTCGAAGAGAAGAATACGAATTTAGTATTTGCTTTCATTAATACTTCATTACAAATTCAAAATATGAATTATTATTAAACTGAATTTGTGACTAAACTAAGCACATTTAGCATGCGAATATAATTCGAAAAGAGGATCACAAATTTATAATTGTTTTTATTTGACACGTCACACGTCACAACAGCAACTTGCCAGTAGGCAAATCCCAGACAACATTTTGCATGTGACATATCAATGAAAAGGGCTCGAAGAGAGCAATACGAATGTAGTACTAGTTTTCATTTATACTTCACAACAAAATTATTATTTTTCTTAAGACTAATGCCACTCACACCTAGTACTTTTTTATTTTTTTAGGACAGCCAATATGTTCAAACAACCACAACAACACGTCGCCCCTACATTTTGGCCTACAATCCCTTCTATTACAATTTGAACCATAATTACGACTTGTCTAAAAGTGATGAAAGTGATGAAGAAACTTCTTCTGATGAAGATGACGATGTTAATGCAAGTGAAGAGGAACAAGTCAGCGGAGAAGAGTCCTTCAGTCAAGAATCGGAAAGTCAATATGAAAGCAGTGTCGAAGTAACAGTAAGGGATATCCGTTTTTGTCATTCCCATAAGGTTGAGAAGAATAGCAAAAATTGTATTAAATTGTCTGAATATGTTGTATATGGTATGAATATGTTGTAAATGTCTGAAAATATTGTAAAAAGTCTCAAAAAAAGTGAAGCTTTCGTAAGAAATATAAAAACATAGAACACAAAGTCTGTATCAAAAAAACACTTTGCGTCCCCTAAAAATGTACGATTACGAATATTCATATCAAAGTTGTTCAAAATTTTTCTTACGACAATCGTTTTATTTCAGCAACCACCCTTAAAAAAGCCGAATACACCCACAAGACGACCAAATCGTCCAAATTTCAGCACGAGGCGTCCAAATTATGGCCAAAACGATAAATATGACAATTTCAACACACATCGGCCTTCTGCAAGTTCAGACTTTGACACCATAAATTTAAGCACAAGTTTCAATCCGTACCAGCAAAAACCAAACAAGCACCAATACCACAATATAAATTACCACAACAGTCAAGAATCGGATTTCGAGTCCATTCAAGACTTCCAGAATAATCGGAGACCTCAAAATAGACCACAAAATTGGAACCATCAGAATAACGACTGGGCTCACCAAAGTTCTAATAACAAGCCGCAGAATTCTAGACCTCAAAATCCAAGACCACAAAATCCAAGACCTCAAAATCCAACAACAAGTTCTAAGCCGGCAACAACATCATCGGAAAGTAGTGAAGAACAAGATGACTCTAATATTTTGAACAAATGGAAAGCATGGTCGAAACTGTGATTTCTGACTTTAGTGATGCATTTTTGACTAGAGAAGAAAATTTGGAAAATACCAAGAAAAACTTAACGCAAGCACAGATGAAAGATGGTGTAAATATACCCCAATCTAGGAAAAGACTCAGTGCAGTAAAAAATCCAACAAAACAGGGTTTAATAGGTGATTTGGAGACCCAAATTTGACGCTAGTGAAACGCCAAACGGGCAAAATATCTGTGATGGATTCCAAAAGCAAAAACACACTTACTAAAGGAAATTTAGAATTTAAATATGAAACAGTATCACGCAAACCAGGCAAACCAGAATTTAAGACCAAAAGTGTACCAAAAACTAGAAAAGCCAGAAGTACTTCTGGGCGTAGTCATAAGCGACAAATGCTCTTTGAAGGATTTTTTGGCGACTACGAAGACGACGACAATACCCAATTTACTGCAGAAACTGAAAACGCACCAGGTAAACCAATTTTAAACACCAAAACCGTAATAATTTCCAATAATTACAAAAAATACATTTACCCAGGTTGGTTCGACACCATTTACGACTTCTCGAAATTGCTAGCACCATCTTACAACGACCTGCTGATACCAAGATGGCTGTACGGACTGTTTTTCGATAAATCAAAGGATAATGGAGATAAGTTGACGCAAAATGTTGTTGCAACTAATAATAATAATAATGATGGGAATATTGTTAGTAATTTGATCGATGACACAACTACTAAACCGTGGTACAGCACAATTTTTAAGCCTGTATCAGAGTATGTCTCGAGTGAGTATTAATATAGAGGTGACAGTATGGTAGATGAGAAATTACCCAAACGAAAAAGTCTTGATAAATTACGTTAAAATATTGAATATTGTTAATATAAGTTTAGATAAATCAATTGGTCAAATTAATTATCTATTTTAATACATTAAATTAAATTTTGCATTCATACGACAAATAAAAAATTACTGGATGACAAAGTTTTTTTTTACATTATTTTCAGACACGTTATCCGCAAATTACCAAGACGAATTCTCCAACAATCTACCAGGAGACGAATTTCTATTAAATCGCTATCGACCTCATAATTCCAAAGAAAAGCGAAAAACTTACGAAGGCTATCAACTTTTGCAGATTTTACCAAAAGGATTCTACGTTCTCGAAATCATGCTCGATTTGTACGACGCTTCGCAGGTCAGTAGAACATTTTTTTTATAAAAAAATTAAACTTACCATCTTTGTTATTCTTCAGGAGACCAACATCCAGTGGTGGACTGGTAGACCTAAATTAAATAAAATTATAGACGTCCTGGTACCTCCTGAGTTGCTGAACAACTTCAAAATGCATCTGCAACATCAAAATGTAGAATTCGATATTAAAATTAGAGATATGCAGGTAATAATAAACGTAATGATATATATTAAGAAATGTTTGATATAAATTGTAGGCAAAACTCGAACAATATTTTGCATACGACATATCAATTAAAAGGGCTCGAAGAGAGGAATACGAATTAAGTGTTCATTTTTATTTATATTTTATAGCAAAAATTTTAATTTATAAATGTCTCATTTAGCATACACTTCAAGCTGAAAATCCAAGAATGTCGAAAAGGCACAAATCGTCCTTAATGTACACGCAAGGTAAATTCACTTTAAAAAAACATATTTAAACCATTTTTTAAAAATGTTTATTTATACTTTATATTTTCAGGACACCCCTTAACCTGGTACAGATATCACAGATATTTAGACATCGAAAAATATCTAAAATATCTTTCAGTTCGATATCCGAGTTTGATTAAAGTCGAAACTATTGGAAGAAGTTACGAAGGCAGATCTTTGCTAATAGCCAAAGTAATAAATTACTAGTAAATATGTATATACACATAAATCTAATAAAATATTTGTTATTTATTCTAGATATCGAAACCTGCGCAAAAGCTGCACGCTTCCCAAAAGTCGATAACAAATTCGAACAAAGAAAATCGCCACATTGACCCCACCGATATCGATACTGCCGATAATATCGATACCAGCATACAACAATCGAATTCTGATATTTTGCGACAGAAAGATTTGGACGATTATATTCGATATAGTGCTGAAAATATCGATAAAGATAGAAAGGGATTGATGGAGGATGATAATAAATATTTCGATCAATTCGAACGCGATGTGTTCGATACTGACATTTTGCAGAGACAAAGGGATCAATATTTTAGAGATATGAGAAGCATAAATGAAGACAATGATAGTGTAAGTATTAATAGATAAGACTATTTAATATTTTTGCCACAAAATTCAATTTGTTAAATTTATGTTTTCTCCAAGTGTCGTTTTTGACGAGCTCTTCAGGCTAAAATGCGTGCACTAGAATCTGACAAATTATGTATGTAGTATATGAATATGTCTACTAAAATGCTATGTACTTGATTTTGCTGCTGTTTTTCCAAAATTTTAAAATATGACAAATTTAGTGATGAAGTACAAATTTAGAGAGTAGATTTAAGAATGCTGTTATAAAGAGCTCTGCAGGCCGTTTTTTGTTACCACATGGTTGAAATTTGAGTATGTTATTTATTAGAATGTCTATTTTATTGGTATACTTTGATTTATAAATCTTTTCTAACAAAATTTTTAAATATTAATAATTTTATTAACAAAGTTCCTAAAAAATGTCTTAGAATTTAGTAATGAAGTACATAACGAGTATAGATATTAACAATATTTTAAAGAGCTCTATAGGGTGCTTTTTTTTCGCCACAATGTTGAAATTTGAGTACGTTATTTAATATAATGTCTACTTTATTGTTATATAATAATTTATAAATCTTTACTAACAAAATTCTGAGATGTTAATAATTTTATAAACAAAAATCATGGGAAATGTAAGTCTTTGCGACTAACAATAGTTTAGTCCACTTTTAGAGAAAATTGTAACAATTCATATAGTCGGTTTTGATGAGCTCTTTAGGCTGCACCGTTTGCACAATATTGTTGCAAATTTAGTATGTAATATATAGGATTATTTACTAAAATGTTATGTACTTAATTCGGCAAGTTTTCATCCATAATTTTGAAACATCAACAAAATTGTGAGTGTACAAAATTATGAAATTATAAAATTATATATGTGATAACTTTGAAACCATTCGTTTAATATAATTGGTGTATTTGGCAAATTTATACAAAATTAACTTATCTACAAATTTTTGTAACAGTTAACAACCCTAGAGCAACTATAAAGTTTAAAACGCAGAATGAAATGAAATTTCAATAAAAAAATTTTTTTTACTCTATATGCTCTAACTTCTAAACCAATAGATTTATTTGAATAATGAATTTTACAAAATGCTTTGAAATTAAATCATATATAATATTGCCTAATATTAATATGCCCTACAGCAACGCGGTCTATTATAAAACTCATTTGAAAAAATATTAGGTGTACAACTTTGCTTCCGCCATTATTTTGAGGAACTTATATTGCAAAAACGGCAAAAGCAAAGTTGTAATCGCAACCAGTGAAGATGCACTAATTTATTATACAAGCCATAACTTTAAAACCATTTGTTTAATGTAAATCATATATTTGGCAAATTTGGTCAAAATTAATTAATCTACGAACATTTCTAAGGATAAATAGTCCTAGAGCAACTCGGTATATTTTAAAATTGCAATTGAAATGCAACGAATAATTTGAGCTTGTTAGTATACTAGTTTCCAAAGTACAAGTATACTAGTTTCCAAACAAACTTTACTATGTCAAAGATTTTCGTCATACGTTGTGCATGGAAATCTTGCTTTGTAACTTACTATAGCACTTTATTTTTTGGGTGCATTAATTTGCTTTATCTCTTGTAACTTCTGACTTATACAGAATTAATTAATCTATAATATTGTTTAATATCACCAAACCCTACAGCAACTCGGTATACTTTAAAATATTATCTTAAAATATAAATTTAATCTCAGAGCATCAATTGTGCATTTACTTCTGCGATTTTGACAAACTCCTCAAAACAAAGTATTTGATTTAAAGAGTTGTAAATTGAGTATGTATTATATGAGTTTGTGTATTAAAATTCTATGTACCTAATTTGAAAAGTTTTCTTACAAAATTTTGAAATAGAGATAGATTTATAAGCAAGGGCATAAAATTTTCTTAGAAAAAATATTCTATGCGTCGCTTTTGACGAGCTCTTCAGACTTCACCGTTTGAACTACAGTATTGCAAATTGAGTATACACGTATAGTACACAAATATGTCTACTGAAATGCAATGTACTTAATTCGCCAAGTTTTCGGACAATATTGTGAAATATACATATATTTAACAAATTTTGTCCAATTTTCAGATTCTAAGAATGCAAAGAATTCCAACAAAATACAGTTATATGCCCAGCAAATATTATAGGCCTAAGAAAAAGGTGCAAAAACCTGGAATATTAATCTTGGCCAATATTCACGGAAACGAATGGATTTCCAATTCGGTTGCCTTGTGGTTTATAAAGTCTTTGGTGGAAGGTCATGTCGAAAATGGTAAGATAAAAACGAATTTTATGTTTACAGTCAATCTGAATCGTTTGACAGTGAAATGGGAAAAAGTATCTGTGTTTGCTTACAGCTAGTTTATTTTGAATTCGGTCAGTGATATTTTTATATCATGAGACTTTATTTTGATTTTGCAAATTGTCATGTCAACTTTTTGTCAGTAGAGTTTTTCATTCTAGATTTGATTTAGTTGTTAGTAGTGTTCATATTTACCATTCACACCCAAATTTTGTTCATAAAACTAATTAAATACATTTGTACTACAAATATTTACATAACGCTTACCATGCGTATCCCAGCCTAAGTGAAAATGTATGAAAAAGCGTCGAGTTAGGTTCGGACGACATGGTAAGCACTCGTGATTTTTTTTAGAATTTAATTGATTAAGTCAATTATTTACAAAGTTTATGCAACTTGCCTTCATAAATTAACATTTACACCTAGTTTTTATTAAAAATATCTTTCTCAGGCATTCCAAGAGACATGGATATGTTGGAAAAATGCGACTGGTATATAATGCCGGTGGTAAATCCTGATGGCTACGAATATTCACATTCCAAGGACAGATTTTGGACAAAATCCAAATCTTTGTACAACATAAATGACGATAAGAGTTCCAGTTGGAATTTAGAAAAATTAATTGGATGGTAATAAAGCATTTGACTGTATTTAAGAATTCTCAGTCAATATTTATTTTATTTGAAGGAATTTTTATCCGTGGTTAAAACAATCACCGGAGAAATCTTCGACGGAAAAATGCATCGGAGTCGATTTGGAGCATAATTTTGGGTTGAACGTTGAAGGAACAAATAGGTATGTAAATAAAATTTAAAATAAGTATTAAATTAATTGCATCATTAAATTATTTATTATTTTATCTTAAGTTTAAACTTTATAAAATAATTATTTCAAGATCAATTTTCATAAAAACTGATGTTCAATTTCAAGTCCAATGATGAATTTTGTGGTAAAATATTCAATAAAATAGAATTAGATTAGAAAAATAAGTTAATTCCTAAAAATGTATCGTGGTATTAATTATTTATTTATTTTTTGTTACATTTTAGATGTTCAGATACATACAGCGGTCCAAATATTTTTTCTGAACCAGAAACAAAGGCCATCGCCCAATTTATGGCCAAACGTAAAAACAAGATCAAGGTAAATATATAAAAAATAAATTACTTTTCCATTTTTGTTACAATTATTTTCTAAAATTTAGATGTCAAAATTTTAAAATCCTTTCACCACGAGATTAATAGCAATTTGCCATTAAGCAATTCTCGAATAAAATTTTGCATGTGACATATCAATGAAAAGGGCTCAAAACGAGCGACAAACATTTAATATTTGTTTTTTACTATTTTTTTAGTGTTAGTATTAGTATTTTTAGTATTTAATTTAGTATTTAAATATATAAATATTGAACTAGCAACTTGCCAATAGGCATATCTCAATTATTATGTGATATATCAATTAATAGGTCTCAAAAAGTGGAATACAAATTTAGTACTTATTTTGTTTTATATTTTGTGACAAATCTAAAAATGAGTACTATTATTTAACTAAATTTGTGGCTTAAAAATAGCAACTTGCCTGAAGGCAAATCTCAAACAGCATTTTGTATGTGGCATATCATTGAAGAGCTCGAAAAGAGCAATACGAATTTAGTATTTGTTTCTATTTATACTGTAATACCTAAAAGTTTATACTAATATTGACACAACTTAAAAGTGTAATGTGCAACTTGTCAGTAGGCAAATCTTGAACACTATTTTGCATAAGATATATTAATGAAAAGGGCTCGAAGAGAGGAATATGAATTTAGTACTTGTTTTTATTTATATGTTATAACAAAAAGTTTTGTCTATTATATTCTAGCAAAATTTGCAAGGAGCAAAGTTAACAATATTTTTTCTTACTAGATTTTTATATCCCTAAGGGCCTACGGCCAAACTTGGGCCACATTCGACAAAAACCAAGGCAATTCAAACAACCAATTCGGATTCGAATCCAATTTAAATTCGGATGCAATGAGGTTAGCCGGAATTGCTCTAAGGAGCGTTGAACAAGTTCAACAGACGAAATATAAGAGTGAATTAATACATTCCAGAGGTAAAAAACAAAATATTTAAATTTTGAAGTATAACTCAAGCGATTCGATCATTTTCTAGTAGCAATTTTACATAACTGTTCCTTTCACTTTCCATCACTTTTTATTCATCCCTATTCTTTTCTCTTTTTATTTTTCAAGTTTTATTAGTTTTTAAATTGATAATTAATTAATTACTGATTAATTTTATTTCAGGTTCATCATTGGAGTACGCAAGTGACATTTTGTCAATACCATATGTTTACCAGATAAATTTGGCAGACGGATACCACCAAAATGGGTACCTGTTGCCATCTCAAAAAATTAAATCGACGAGCATCGAAATTTGGCAAGGGGTTAAGGCTTTGGCCAAAAATTTATAGATTTAAAAATAACATAATTATAAATAGTTTAAGTATATACTAAGTAGTAATATTTATTTATTAATTGAGAGTAATATTTATCTATAAGATATATATATATATATATATATATATATATATATATATATATATATATATATATATATTATATTAGAATTCGTAAGTATGAACTATTATAATAGTAAAGTGCCCAAATGGTATTATTTTAGTAACATATTATTATTATTGTATACACTAAGAAGTTTCACTTCAATTTTTTTTTCAAATCTAATACCAAACTTGTGTATGGCATCGTGCCTTAAGGCAAATTGTTGGAACTTCCCGTACCGTAATGAAATATTCGAGAAATTTTAAATGTTTTCAAATATATTATTACAAATACTGTAACTTTCATTATTTTTGCTATCTTGTTTTATCTGAGCAAATCAAATGCAAATCACAAATCAATTTATCTCCAGAATATTAACAATCGTCATTTCATTTCGAATTCAATTTCAAAAAAAAAGAGTTGCCTAATTTGCAACAAATTGAAAAAGTGCTCCAGTATAGTCACAGTGTAAACGCATTTGCGAATAATTCTGGGCGACATTTTCACTTACATTGTGCTTAGCTTGGCGGCATTTCCACATTTTTCAATAGTTTTCATAAAATTGGAAAAGTGCTCCAATACATAAACAGTCTAAACGCACTTGGGTAAACATTTGTACCAGAGTGGCGCTTAGACTGTGCTTAGCCTGGGTCATTTCTTGAATTTTTATCCAAAATTACAAAAATATTTTATGGAAAATAAAAAAAGATGTAATATTTTTTATCCTCAAAAGCAATTGTTTTGTCAATACGAGCAGAAAGTTTTTTAGATCATTCAAATCGGACGCTTAGTTCACTCAAAAACTGCCATTTTTTGCACATTTAGCTCTGTATCTTCAAAATGGCGGGACCTGTCTTCGCCAAAAACTAATCACCTCTTCTCCCAATCATTACAAATTGAATGTTTTTTAGATTATTCAATTCCGATACTCCATTCTCTCAAAACCTCGATTTATATTTTCTGCACTCTTTGCTCTTTATCTCCGTAACGGTTGGACCTGCCTTTGCCAAAAACTAATCTCCCTATCAACAGGCATCGAATGTTTTTTGAACTATTCAAATCGGTTGATCCGATTAAAAACTGCATCCATTATATAAACAATTCAATTAACAAAATATACAAAAATGCAAGCATAAGATATTGATGGTACATTTATTAAACACAGCTTTTCGTCATTGACACTAAAAAAATATCTTATTACTTTTTACATATTCAAACTATCGTTAAACACAGCGTTTCCCATGACACTTAAAAAAAAAAGTTGTTACAAATAAAATATAATCGTAGAAAAATAAATATTTTTGTTCTTTTTGCGTTTTTCCTGTTTCATTTTTTATAAATATATCATTGATAAAATCTTAGATGTTGGATCTTGCTGAGGATTAAGGTAAGGGTAAGGGTAAGGGTTGTCTTTTTGGTCCAAAATTCTAAACTTACAGTTGTTTGTCATTATTCGTCTTTCTTGGCGAGTTGCTTGGCCTTGTCATGCGATTGGCAGCAGTCAAAATCTTTAGTCACCTCACAACATTTTTCAGGTTTGTCATCGCATTTATGTTTCAATTTTTTACATTTCAGTTTCTTCTTTTTCGGAGGCTTTCTAGGTGGCAATTCAGGACATGCTCCCCCACAGCTCTCATCCTATACATTTTATTGAAGATTAGTTTCATAAAATATTACTGCAGCAAAATAAATGCTTGCCGAACAAAATACCTATGAGAAGTTTTAAGTTAATAAAAAGTAAGCACTAGTTCATTTAATACATATTGAAACAGACTGCAACATTCTCGGATAATTTACAACATTATCAGATGTATTGTCTACAAATGTTATAAATTGTCTGAAAATGGTAGATTATTAAATTTAGTTCAATCTAGTTCGATGTTAATGCTCAATGTATATTTAGACAAGCAATCTATTACATTTTTTAACAATCTGCAACATTTTCAGACAATTTGCAGAATTTTCATACAATTTCCAACATTTTTAGATTAATCTCCAACATTTTCAAACAGATTGTTTGCAAATGTTGTAAATTGCTCAATCATGTCACAGATTACATTTAAATCGATCTAGTTGAATTATAATGCTTAATGTATCTGCATAATTTTCCACTGATATTAAAATTCAGTTCGATCTAGTTTAATGTTTTTAATCGTTGGCTGCTAATGGCCTACTTTCACTTTTTGCTTTTTTGGTGGTTTACAGCAAGGGTCGCGTTTCTGCTTCTTACATTTGCTCTTCTTCTTCTTGCCCTTCTTATTGGCGCCCTTCTTGCAAACAATCTTAGTCTGATTCTCAGATTTATCCTGTAGAGTTAAAAAAAATCACTACACAGAAAATATGCAGTATAACAACATCGAATGGCTTTTAAATTTTTGAAATAAGAAAGTTAATCATATTAGAAAATGATATTTAATTTCATGTACAATTTTCTGCTTCGGGCAGCAAGGCTCCTTCTTGCAAGCCGGCCTCCTAGACTCCTCGCTCTCCTTGTCCTCAATAAGGCACTTGAGTTTCTTCTCCTTCTTCTTAAAGCATTTAGACTTCTTTTTCTTCTTCTTCTTTTTGCAACACGAAGAGAAGGAGGCCTTTTGAGAACCCGAGCTAAAAAGAGAACTGCTAGCATAGGTGCCGTAGGCCGCCACCTGTTTGGGGCCCTCAAATTGACGGCGCTTCCTGGCCAGGTGACAAGTGGCCGAAGAGGGCAGATGGTGCTGGGCGGAAGCTGAAATAGGAAGATTCGTAATTATTCATATACATTTGAATTGAATTACTTTCGACTACTAACAGTATTTCTTGGTCTTGGCTGCCAGCACAGTCCCACTTGGCGCCCTGGCCGTGCGTCCAAACCCTCCCGAGGTTGATGAACCCATTCCTGGACCAACCTTTTCGTTATCGGAGACAAATTGTTCTACCCCGCTACCGAAGGGCACAAGCTCGGATCTAAAAATAACCAAAATTGATAATGAATAATGATAATGAATATGAATGATATTCATTTTCAACATACCCCTCATTTTCAGCCTCGCAATAGGTTTCAGGTGCATAATCATGAGTTCGCATTCTGTCGTGTGCCTTCAAGCTTGTAGGGATGGATTGTGGTGGAGGGCTAAAATTTATATAGAGCAATCAATTTATATCAGTTATCAATCAATAGTTAAGGAACATATTATAATGATCATATGCAAGATGTAATTTGCTCTTAGTGTCTGTTAGTACTACATGTGAGTTTGTGAGAAAAAGTAGTATGAATGTAAAGTATCAGAATGTAAATCATGATTTTAAATGATACGGCTCAAATAATAATGAACTCAAATAAGAATGTAAGCGAGTAAAATAAATAATGAAATCAATTATTTAAGCAAGTATAACAAATGATGAAAATAAAATATAACAAATGACTTATTAATTATGATAAGGTAATATTGTTGATTATAAAACAATGTAATTATAAATTAATTTAGAGGCTTACTCCGGTGACGTGTCAACCTGCTCGATCGGCGGCGCCGCAAAGTCATCATAAGGATTTCTTTTCGTCATCGCCGTCATCTCGCCAGTGTCGTCGTCACTAGCGATAGTCCTATTGAAATTTGGGCTAAGGTCCTGATTCATAGGTTTAGTCGCATATTCGGCCGCACTGTGCGATACAGAACCACCGCCGCCGCCGCCGTCCTCCTCCGACTCCAACAACTCGCGATTGTAATCTTTGCCATCATCGTCTTCCATTCTAGAAGTACAAATTATTATATTAATACAATCAACATTAAAAGTTATTTTTTATTACTTGGAGTTGTCGTCATACAGCGGCTGCTGCTGCTGCTGCTGCTGCTTCAGGACCATTTTGGAGGGTACTCCTTCACGTTTGCGTGCCAAATATTCGACCCAGTCGCGGCCAGTCATTGCAGCATGCCTGCATATATAATCAACATAGTTGAAAAATTCAAGCTGAATTAGATTATTTTATTAAACCTACCGCATTCTCCTCATGCGCTCCTCATCGATTTGATTTTTCATTGACAGCAACTGCTGCTCAGCAGCAGTCTGCGAGTGCACATATGCCTAAACCAAAATTCCAAATATAAACAAATATACTTGTAAATATACAACACAAATGACCATACTTCATCCAAATGCTTCTTATTGTCCTTATCCTTAGACTCTATTTTTTCCTCTTCCTTCCTCTTGAGCACATGTGCCAAAATAGCGTCTTGAGGGTTCACTTCAGGCATACGAATAACAATCTTGTCATCCTAAAAACATTCAACATGAATTATTTATTACTCATACAACAACTAATAATTCAACGCAATCTTTCAATTTTTACCTTGAAGGCTCTGACCTCCGACCACCACTTGGGCGCGTTCTTGGTCTCGCTCCTCGGGTGTCGCACGAGCGCGGGTTCGGGCGCCTCCTGCACGACCGGCGCCGTCTTCGGCAGCGGTCGCGCCACTTCGGATTCGGCGTCGAAGGCAGCCTCCGCGCCGCTTGCCGTAATAGACTTGGCCGCCGGCGTCGGATCCCATTCCGAATCGGCAAACGCCCGGTCGACGTCGCTGAGTTCCTGAAACAAGTAACAGACAAGAATCATTAAATTATTTATACAACTAATTACTTAATTAATATTAATCGGCTATAAACTTAATAAATTACATAGTTAATAAAATCTTTACCAAACTTGCTTTTTACAACATAATTGCATATGTGGGAGTCGTAATGATTATGACAATATATTAAATTAGAAACTCCCAACACATAAAAAAATATAAATTTTATTCATTATAAAAATATTCTGATATGAAAAATATAAATGACAAGTCCAATTGTTTTTTTACAAATCACTAGCCTGCTTGATTTCCCCACACATATATAATAATAATAAATGGTAGTCTGCCCGAAGGCAGGTCCATGGTGTGAGAGCCACCACAACAAATGATTTCCTGGCCCTTCATCCCATTACCACTATTCCATATCCCCATTTTTTATTTCATGTATTTTTCTTTCCAAACTTCTGTTTCCATGCTTCTTGATCATGTGCTTCGGCTTTCAGTTCCCTGCATTTTCTCTTCTCGCGTAAGTCGTCAATCGTCTGCATTCTTCTCCTTCCCATTCCTTTTATTCCTTCTATTCTACCCTCGACTACGTCGTGTAGGAGACACTCTTTTTGCAAAAGAGGTCCGATCCAGTTTCCTTTCCTTCTCAGAATTGTGCTCAGTAGAGTCCTTTTTTCGCCCACTCTTCTCAGGACTTCTTCATTTGTTACTTTGTCTGTCCACTTTATCTTTTCCATTCGCCTCCAGCACCACAATTCAAAACTCTCGAGGTAGTTTTTATCGACCTTTCTCAGAGTCCATGTCTCCGATCCGTACAGAGCTATGCTCCAGACGTAGCACTTTATTAGTCTCTTCCGTAAGTCAATTCTCAGTTTGCTCGTCAGTAGCGTTCTCTTCTTTCTGAATGCCGCCTTGGCGCTTGCGATCCTTGTCCTGATCTCTTTCGTGTAGTATATATAAGTTATTATTTCTCTGACACCTTCATATCGATCAGTGTCAGCCTCTAATTAGAACTGTATTTGTTAAATTATTGGCAAATGGTGCGAGTTTCAGCAAACTACAAACATTTACAGTCATTTTATTTTTAAACTGGTTGTGATAACCGAAATTTGATTGAACACTGTTTATAGGGCCAGTCAGCCTAGCCAATATGAGAATATAATAAATTTACATTATACTCCCATTATATTGGCATACAGATTGTCATATATTAATCGTTGTAATTAAACAGAATACAACGTATGCTAGAGCAACCATGCCATAGTATATCTAGTAACAAGTTTTTCCTTTACTCTACATCTCTTGTAATAACATTAATGTTTCAGAGTATTATATTCAAATATTCTTAGACTGTAACGTAACAATATAATATAATTCAATATTCAATATATATAAACAATATTATATAATATAATTGCAATTTAATAATTTAAAACGAATAAATGAATATAATATAACACTAATTCTACCTTTCATCTACGTCTCTTGTAATAACATTAATGTTTCAAAGAGTACTAAATTCAAATATTATCAGACTTGAACGTAATAATATTTAATGGTTCAAAATAAATAAATGAATATAACACAACTTCCACCTTTCAACTACATCTATTGTAACAACATAAATGTTTGAAAGAGTATTATATTCAAATATTGTTAGATTTGAACATAACCATATTATTGCAATTTAATAGCTTAAAACGAATAAATGAATATAATGTAAAAGGGATCGTTCAAGTATTACTTAATCAGATTTAGTACAATTATTTACCCCCCTCCATCCCCCTTGTCAGCAAAAGTAAGCAAAGCTGTCACCAAAATATCAACCAAAATAAGCAAATCAAAAGTCCCCCCGCCCCCCATAGTGCTTACGTAATACTTGAGCGGCCCCAAACAAAATTTTCATCTTATCTGCATCTTTTATCAACATTATGAACATGCTTAGCAGAAAAAAGCAGCTCTTTTATAAAATGAGTTTTCAAGAAAGCAAATATAAAATAAAAAAAGGCAAAATTAATTTCCAAATTATATTCTTAGTACCTGTGAAAACTGAGGTACCTCCGGCGGCGGATAGAGTTTCGTCGGAGTGGATTGCAAATTTACATTTCTGAGATCTTGATGTGCGTCAAACCTGTTACATAATAATATATTAATAATGATAAATAAATAAATAAAAACTATAAAAGTATATATAAACCGAAATACAGTTTCAAAATTTAAAACATAAATGAATAAATAATTTTTATTTCATTGTAAGGGCTTGTACACACCCGACATCGTACTCTCGGAGCGACTCGACCTTAGGCAGTTCCGCCTCTAGCTGGGCCTGCTTTTGTTCATGTTCCGACAAAGAAATCTTTTCACTAAAACTGAAAATTCAAATAAAAAATAAGACAAAACTTGGGTGGTAATTTGCCTAAAGGCAAGTTCCAGACATGCGTAGTAATCGACATAAACAAAAAGAATCGACATTTAGCAACTTTCAAAATGGCGATGGTTTAATAAGCCTCTAAGGCGTTAAACTACGTCAGTGAGGTTAGTTTTTATTTTGTAACTAGTTTTTAAAAAAATATGTGCCACGTATACTTATACAAATGAACAATTTTGCATAATTTACATAAACAAAAGCGGAAGAAAGATTATTAGTTCTTACGCGAGAGCTTCTTCGCTATAATGAAATATATAACATTTTACCTTGTATCAAATATTCGACTTTCACAATTACCTGCATAGTTTTCCTTTTGCTTACACATAAAACTAGTAACTACACAAGTATTTTTACAATTTATTAAATTTTTCAAGCATAAAATAACAGAGTATGTCCACATAAAAATCACAACTTAAATGATTGTAAAAAAAACGTCAAATTTAAAACTAAAATGGCCGACAGTTGAACATAACGCAAACAACGCAAATAAATATTTTTAACTCAAAAATTTAATTACTCACAATTTTTTGCATAAATATTGATTAGAATATATTTTTATAGTTCATTATTAATAAAATTTTATTAATCAAGAATATAAATTAGTAAAAGTGACTAACGATTGCTTGCAGATGTAAGCGTAATGTTGTGAACAACTTTTAAAACTTCGGATTTAAAGTGTTCGTCAGAGTTAAATTAAATTTTTAATAATAATACTGTTTGTGAACGTATATGTCGTTAATTATTCACCTATAGTGTTATTTACTAACTTTCTCGTAATTATATATTTAAACATTGTTAAACTTCAACTGAAAGTAATAATTTTATAAATTCACTTTGCTAAAACAGTTTTATTGATTTTAAAAATGAAGAATTATTGCTACCAGTATTAAACGAGTAGATATTAATATTAATTCCTATCTAAAAAGCAACAGTTCATTGTCCGCTTCTTTTATATAAAAGGATAATATTTTGCTCAATGCCGAAAGTTGTAAAAGTTTTGGTCGTCCGGGGTTTCAAACTCTATACATTTGTTCGTTCGTTAACATACGTACTAGTAATATTATTATTGTCAAAATAAATCATTTGCAAACCTTGCTAATCGATTCGGTCCTTTACTTGCAACCGGTTTCTGCAAAGAAAGCGGTAAAACACCGCCATCCTGCAAAAGAATATTTTACATCAATAATAAAATTATATTAATAAACGATTTCTCAAGTCCCTGCAGAACATTCTGTTCAGATAAGATAATAAATAAATTAATAAAGTAATTATTTCAGTTGCCTGAAAGACATTCTGTCCAGCTACGTTAGCAGCAACCGGCGTCCCTGTGTATTGCTGCTGTTGCTGCTGCTGCAGTCTCTGCTGCTGCGCCGCCGCTGTTTTAACAGGCTGACTGCTGCATATCTGAAATGTAAAAGGCCCAATAAGGAAATTTTCTAAATTTCAGTTATTGAGTACATAAATGTAAATTATTAAGCATTATAATTAATAAAAATAAAATAGATTAATTCTATAATATGTATAATTTATTTTATATTTGTGAAAAGTGCCTTTAACGCGTTTTAAATTAGGCTATACACATTTGGACAGGGAAAAATATAATAGCTAGTATAATTTGCACATAAAGTCATGTGTCAATTATCATTTTGATAATTATTAGTTATTTAATATTTTTATTCAATTTATTATTTACCGTCCTCGACGTCGTCGTCGTATGAGCCGAATGGAGCGAAGCAATAATTTTGGCCCCAAAACGTCCCGCCATGGTTTCCAACTAATTTACATTTCTATTTTTTTTGAAAATTTTAAAACTGCTTCTTCATCGATACGTATGTTGCTTTAACTAGTAAATTTATAAAGAATTGTTAAGAAATACAACGGTTTAAAATTTTGAAAAATGTCCGAATACCAAAAATTTTGCAAACCCCGTTTTCGTTTTAGAACTCGCGTCGGATTTTGTTTCCCTTAAAAATAAACCGGCCGCTTGGATATCGGATAAAAAACATAAAAACCCACTTGGATTTCCATTATCATGATTGTTTTTTCTTTGATATGATCCCAGCGGGCCGAATTTATTCATTTTTTCACTCGAAACCACGAAATTGAGGGCGGCTTTGGGTTTAAATTTGGGAAAAAAAATAAGATCACCAAAATTCACGGGGGAGTGCGGCGAGCACAAAAACGCGCGCAACCAAAATCGGGCCAAAAAAAAAATCCTATGGTTTTACAAATTCTAAATTGAAAACTTAATCGTTTTATTAGCGCGGACAGTTATTAAATGTGGATTAATGGTTAAAAATAAAATTGATTATGGGATTCGTGGAATAAAAATTTCGTAAAACAGTTTGACAAAAAAAAAACGAACATGGCGGCCAGGTCCGGATTCAAAATTATCAGTGAGCTGTTTCGGTCCAACACCACGCAAACCCGCAAGGTAAATAACTTAATTATTTAATAATTTTTGGAAAAAATGTATTTTTTCCAAATGTCATTTTTGAAGGTCAAATAGATTTGAATCGGTTCAATCATTATTAGAATTATGATTATTTTACTAGCCGAAATAGTAACAATTATAATAAGCTATTGATTATATTTAATAAATATAATTATTATATTTTATGTATTAACTATATTTGTTCTGATTAGAAGAATATTCAATATAAAATTAATAATTATTGAAACTTCAAGATAGCTATTGCTGAATTTAATTTATTGCTTTGTTTATTATAATAAATTTATATTTTTATATTTATATATTTGTATATATATATATACACGTATATATATATATATATATATATATATATATTGATTATATTTAATAAATATAATTATTATATTTTATGTATTAACTATATTTGTTCTGATTAGAAGAATATTCAATATAAAATTAATAATGATTGAAATTTCAAGATAGCTATTGCTGAATTTAATTTATTGCTTCGTTTATTTATTATAATGAATTTATATCTTTATATTTATATATTTGTATATATATATATATATATATATATTTTCAAATATGCTGTCCTACATATAACTATATATTTATCATTATTAACTATAGTATAATAATGATATACTATTGTTATTGTTGAAAGCTATTGTTATATTTTATGAATATATTTATATTTGTAAATAGTAAGTAACAATATTTGATTAATCAGTTATTAGTCGATTTTATAATTTATTATTTGTGTATTTATATACAAATAATATTCTTATTATTATTAAAAAAAATTTAAATATTGAAAGAATAAACATAATATTGAACATAATTGATGAAAATTGAAATTTTCAAAAAAGCTATTGTTACATTTTATTAATATATTTATATTTACAAATAGTTAATCCAATATTTAATCATTTAGTTGATAGTAGGTTTTATAATTTTATTTATTATGTTTGCAATTCAATGATTTTATTATTATTATATATGCTTTCTATTTTGATTTCCTTTTCATTAGATCAGCTTTCTTTATACATTTGACAAATACAAACTAACATTATTATTTTACTAAAATTGAAACGAACATTACATTTTAATTTTCATTTTTTTGTTTCATAATTCAATATTCAAAACTTTTGTAAATCGGCGGATAGGTATAAGTGGCATTTACCTTAAGGCAAGTTACATTTCTACAATGCGATTCTTGTATCAAGTATTTCCTTTTATTTAGCTAATTAGATACAATTTTCAATTGACGAAAATAGTATTTCTTTATATTTTATAACGTTCGAGAGCCTTATCAATGTATATCTCAAAGTGCTGCACTAATTATTTATGAGCAAATGAATAGAATTCTATCTTTTCCTTTTCCATTGCAGCTATGCAGCACCGCCGTACACAGCGGTGGCCAGTCGGCCGCGCAGATGGCCGGCCAGCAGTTCAACGTCACCCGTCGTCTGCACCGCCCCAAAAGCTCTGAAAGTTATTTTCTCACTGGCCAAGGACGTAGGGCCAGATGCGTGTCGCTGTCGCCAGTCTCCAGGTGAGGGAAATTGACAAAACAAATCAATCGTGGTTAAACGTACAATCGTGTCTATGTACCATCTATTATCTATTATCCTAGATGCCGAAATGCAACAGCGTCGGAAATCGAGCGCTCGTCCAACGTGTCCGTGCGATCCGAGGCTGAGTCCCTCACTGGACGCGACTCGACCATGGGCGGCCTGGTTGCGCCACCGAATACTTCGGCTCATGCCGTTGGCGGCATAATGAGGCACCATCACTCTTTGGCTGCGAGCAGCACGGCTGCGGCCGTCGGGTTAGTAGAGGAAAAATATTTATAAATCTATACTTTTCGGTATGCATTTATTTTTAATATTTACAAAACCAGTATACACGCTCCGATTGCAAGCACTTCCGCCGCAGTGCCCGGAATTAGCGGCCAACAAGCCGAAAAGCACCACAGATCGCGCTCGCAAAGGTGGTGGTCTGAAGTGCGAGCGTTCAAGGTAAAGTGCTTTTTTTGTTAAATTCAAAATATCTTCAACTATAATTTTTATGATTTCGCAGGACGATAAGCCTACCGTCCGGATGCCCGACAATTATGTGCCGATGACCCATTCAAACAGGCATGCGGCTACGAGTTTCTTTGCTTCGGCCTTATCGTCTCCAACAGAAACTCAAAAAGAGGCCACAAAGGTAAAATCAGAATGGTCTCAAGATATTTTTTCCGAACGAATAATTTGATTGCAATATTTAATTTGTGTTTGTAGGTGTTGACCAGGTCTCAACAAGCTGCCGAAGAACAATTAAGAATGATGAAGACTCGAATAAACGAGCAACAGGCCAGGAGAATGCGATATGCTTCTACAGACTGGGTAAATAATCAATAAATGAATAAAATCACATAAGTTTTCTCAAATATCCATTTAAACATATTAAAATACATATTCAAGTAAATTTTGTGGTTTTATGTGTGAAATGTCTGAGCTTGACAGTTTTTACTACCAATTGATACGAAAATAGGACCGTAACATAGCTTTATCACAAAATATTTATTTTATAAGAGAATTGCTCCCCTCCCCAACTTTTCAATATTTTATATTGAATTATATTTCAGGTTGACTATTTGGTAAGACAGCGCTATCTAGCAAACTCACGCAGATTGGAAGACGACACGATTAAGGATTTGGAAGCTAGAATGCAAGACGACCCCTTAACTGTCACTGAGTTAGTATTACAAATATGTATATACATATGTGCCCATAATTATGAAAGTGGCCTAAGTCAAAATTTAAAAAAAAAGAGTTTATCAGTTATTTCATACCACATTAGTTTAAACTAAATGTATTCAATGTATTTTTTACGAAATTGTCAAAAATGAACCATTAGATAGTGGTTGTAATAGTGTTAATTACGAAAGTGGTCTAAGTAAAAAATTTAAAAAAATTATATAAACATCTTGAAAATGGCACGTGGCCTTCTTTGACGCGTTTCTGAACATAGATAAACAAGTATAAATAGATAGCAAACTGGACCGCTTTTTGATTATTTTAATTTTAATTTTCCGCTCCTGCTACAGAAGCGCAACGAGTGTAGTATGAAAATTTACCTCTAGGTTCAATTCTAGACAAATCCAAATCCTTAGGTTTAATTCTAAGATAAATTTATATATAATATTGTTACTATAAATCTGAAATTTTAATATGTGAAATAATAACAAAACATACTCATAAAAATATATTTTCATATATATTAAAAACATTTTCAAAAATATACGGAAATATTAAATTACTTCCATTATACACCAGCATTAGACCAGTATCGGAAGAAAAACATAAAGATATGAGTTTACTACCGTACAACCCTCTAGTTTTTCAGGATCATTTGAAGAATCTTAAATACTCGAAATAATGATAAATGGATCACCGTTTGAAAATAATTAATAAATGCTCACGAATTATTTCAATAAAATTATTGTTTCAAATAAAACTCGAAGTTCTTTATTGCTTTAGTCACTTATAGGACATTCAGTTAATTTTGAAAATGGTCTAAGTCAATTCAAACTTTAAAAACAATATTATCGTATGAAATTCACACAAAATTTCATATTCATAATAAATTGCCATTAATTAAGACTAATAAAATTAAAAATTAAAATGTTGCATAATGTAAAAATATTTTTTAATTTATTCAAATGCAATTCATTAAATATCTTGAAACAAGAAATATATGACATAGACCACTATCATAATTATGGGCACATATATATATTTATCACTTTTTCTTAATCTTTTATTACCCACCAGGTCTTGTCCCAACCTGCACGACGAGCTGACCCGTCGCTACCCTTACCCGAACCCTTACTCTGCTGCGGCCGCCGCTCAGCAGCAGGCGGCAAGTCGCATGCAGGAGGAGGAGGCGGAATCGCACAACACCATTTACGATGCGTCGCAGGAGCTGCTGATGGCCGCCGAGAATAATCAGGTGTATTCGAGGTGCGCCAGGTCGTGCGCCATTGTCAAGGCCGACGAGAACGCGAAGGCGCCGTCGGTGGTTGCCACGGCCGAACCGCAGAGACTTGCGAGGGTAGGATTGAGGATTCATTGTTATTTAAAAAAAAACTAGCTGTAAGTGAAATTCGATCTTAAGGCAATTAGGGCATCGTGCCTTAAGGCAAATTGCTGGAACTTCCCGTACCAAAAATTACTTTTTTTAAAAACGATTAACATTTTTGAAAAAAAATTACTTCGAAAAAATAAGATTTTTGAGAAACTATAAATTTGACAAGAAATACTTTTTCTTGAAAAAAAAAA